CCATATGGTCACGAAGTAACTTTAATGTACTTTATTATAGCATTCATGGACTTGCCTCTTACTGCAATGCACAGCTAAATCCACATATTCCAGTTACTGGGGCCTCAAGCCCCTGAGCTGCAGGTGCTCCAGCTTTCATGGTTTAAGATGTGACCAACACCAAATCCTGCCCTGCAGAGGTGGCAGAATACACACATGCCCACATGCTGCCTCTGATGACATTTTACTGAAACTATCTTTTGCTGATAGTTTCAGTAAAATGCCAGTCTGGGAGCTGCAGCAGCTAAGAAAACACCTCTACATGCCCTGCTATTGCAGCAAGTTCAAAAAGTCCCGTCACAGTAGGGCACAAGACTGGTGACTAGAGTAATTTACCACAGCACCAGAGCAAAGTTCTCACATGTTAATGTCCTCCCAGATAGTCCAGATTCCATGTGAAAGTCAGGGGCCTGCTACGTCCCTTAGGACACTGGAGAGTGAAATACTTTGTTTGGATAATATTGGTGCTGAAAAAAATAAACAAATTATAAAAGCTAACTCATAAGCTTTATGCAGATTTTTATTCTGATGCTGACATTTTTTGCATCTCAGCTTTCCATATATGTGGAAGTCTAAATAACTTATCAAGATATCCCTCTTCCATCTTTTGGGATTATAATGAGAGAAAAAGTTAGAAGCATAAAATATTTCATAACATAACATAAATAGACTTTGAATATTGAGTGTTAAATACCATATGTGGCTGGTTTTGTTTGTTTTTCAACCTTGAAGTTTGGACTTCTGATAACCTTGGGAGGATGTCTGAAAAATTACCAAGAAAACCAAATCTATTTTAACAGGTCAAACTTGGTGACCAGGATGCCAAATCCAAATGAAAAATATTTAGAACTTATTAAGGCAGCAGAAATTTTCTGCCAGTTTTAGTCTCCATGTGCAGATTTAGTGAGCTTTAGCTCATGATGTTAACTTAAGAGAATTTGTTGAATTACCTTCACTTTTCAGAGTCAATCCTATTCACAATCCTATTCTGTCATGTTTACCTTTGAAAATAGTTTAGTTATGTATTTTACATTGGTTACCATGGAAGGGATTTCTCAGTGCTAAGCTAATACATTTTTATGGATGCTGAAGGTATCTTCTAGGTGTCAAGGCTGTAATAACAAATTAAAACAGCTAAGAATCAAATCCACAGAAAATATGGTCTATAATATAGTGCTTTATGTCTGTAAACTCTTCTCCCAGATGAACTAATTTTAAAGCAATATGAAAGATCAGAAATAAGGGACAAATTTGCCTCTACAGAAAGAGAACAGTATGCTAATAGACCTACTAACTGACCTATGGCAGTGATCAGGCCTTCAAGAGCATTTCTTCTCCTTGTTCATGGCAAAATTTAGTCCATCCATGAAGTAGCTAGAGCCTTTTCCAAAATATCAGAAACTTTTTTCTCAGAAGAAAAGTACATAAAAGAACATAATAGCAGTTTTATGTCAATTTTACTGGAGCTCCAGGCACCCTTGAGTACAGAACAATTTGACACCTGCTCCAAATTGGACTGGGTCCAAACAGCCTTTCCCCAAGCCAAAGACCACCTTAGTGCCTCAGCATACTGTGGGCACTGTAGGACAAGACTGCTGGCTTTGTTCTACCTGTTTCTGTGCCAGCTAGGAGAGAAAATTTTCCAGGTGCTTGGAGACATTGATAAAGTGTAAGACATAGGATGTGGGGCATTGTCATGGCTATTGACAGGAACGAGTTCTTTTTGTGGTACTATTTTTCAGCTTTTGTCTTGGTATAGTCCTGGTCATCAATCTAACATGAACACTCACAGTGCTGTTTTCCCATCTTTCTTTTACTTGATCTAGCTGTTCTTCTCTGAAAAGTGCCATTGTCAGAAACCATTACCTGCAAAATTATATGAAAACTTCACCAAGCATTGTTTCATGAAGATGATGCAGTCTTTAAATCTTAATTGAGGGATAAATCATTGCAAAGTTTAGCAATCTCCTGGTAAAGTATACTCAGTGATGGGAAAAATACGACAAGTTTTCAACTCTTCTCTCAGGTATTTCATCAAGAGAATGTAAAAAGAGTAATAAAGCAAGGAAGGCATGAAATAGTCTGAAACTAATGAGAAACACTTGGTTATGATCCACCTCTTCTACAATGTTAGAAATGAGGCAAAATTTAGCCCCTATCATTGTCTGCATGCAAAGGCCAGATGCCCGATAAAGACCTTTTCTCCTCAAATCTCCTATCAAGAATATGTAGCATGTTAGCAGCTAGAAACTATTTGTTTCTAAAAAATATTTGTTAAATCTTGCTAAAATCAGAAATAGATGTAGAGGTCACTTACTTATAGAACTTCCTGGGAAGAACCCACAATAGGATATCTGCACACAACAGAGGATTCCTTCTTGTTTTCACGTTTTTTTAATACTCTCACTTGTGTAAAATGCTGATTTTTATGATGTGATTAATATGCTACTTGAGACTTGAAAATGTCAGAAAGAAATACAGTGTCTCCCTCACACTGAATACTGAATAAGTAAACACATAAAACCAGCAAGAGTTAAAACGGTATCATTAACTAATGCAGTGAGAATGTTTCATGAAAATCTAATATATTTCTTATATTTAGGTGTGGTAATAATTTCATTAATGCAAAAGAAAGCTTTTCACATAAAAGGCAATTATGGATGGCAAATTAATCTGTATTCAGTAAGGAGTCCAATTCTCTTACACCAAAGTGACTGCAAATTTGTATACTTTAATTGTACTACTATCACAGACTCATTGACTCCAGCTGCACTGATTTTTCACTATTTTCAAGAACACAGAAGTCTCTGCCTTGTACTTTTGCCACCTCATTGAAGGTATTATATCTTCAAAAATATTATTTCTGTAGAGATACAGAATGCAAAAATACTTGGAGACGAAAGGAGCTAGGCCTAATATCTAACCATACTGTTTAATGAAATTATTTTTACCACTAAGAATGCTAGTGGCAGATTTGGAAAACTCTAAACTCCACATAAAATACAGGAAAAGGCATACAATAAATCTCACATGTAGAAATTCCCAAATTATAATCCTGATATCTACATTTACTCCTGCTCAATACATTGAGATCTCAGGTTGCCTAATTAATTGAAATTTCCTGGCATCCACATATCCAGCAGACAGTCCTAACTACTCTCACTGCAGAAAATACAGAAGTGAGCACCTGGCACTTCATCTTCACAGAGTGAAGTGCCTTGTCACAAGCTACAAATCAGGATGACACTCTCCTTCATGACCTAAGCAGAAAACAGCAACATGATTACAAAAATACAAAATTTTGAAATAATTTAAATGCTGCAATCAAGCTGAACACTAGTATAGGGGAAATAAAAGCTTTTAGCTGCATCTTCTCTATTCCATCATCCACTCCCTGCTGTCCTGCCCTGTCTGGCAATGCCAGCAGGAATATCAGAATACAGAATATCAAGGTGTTCCCCTTTTTTATTACTGTATTTTGTCCAGCTGAGATGGAGTTCAGTTTCCCCACAGCAGCCCTCAGAGTGCTGTGCTTTTCATTGGTAGCTAGAGACACGCTGATAACACAGCATTTTTCCAGGCTGTCTCTCCAACATGCCTCCCTCACCAGTATGCTGGGCACAAGCAAGACCTTGTGAGAGAGCACAGCCAGGACAGCTGACCCTATACTATGTCTGCTCAGCAACAAAACCTAAGAGAAAGGTGTGGGTGTGTACATTTTTTGTTATGATATTTTTGTTCTGGAGCAACTGCTACATTTACTGAAGCCCTACTTCCCAGGAAGTACCTGGATATCGCCTGCTGATGGGAAGTAGAGAACAAATCTTTTGTTGGTAGATACTGGTATAATATATTCTGGTGGTACAAGACACAGAACATATCTGCATCTTGAGTGAAAGTCACGAAAACAAGCAAGGTAAGAGGACCTGAACAGAAGATTCAATTTTTGGAAATAAAATGCAAGGATGGATGCCATCATGTGCTTATGGCTGTAGTCAGCAGCACATCAACTATGTCTGCTCTGAAATCCTGGAAGAGATCATAGATTGGCCAGAAAGCAGAAATATCTATCCAGCCTTGACAGCACATACACAAAGGAGGGAAGAAGAAGGGATGCCAGCAACAAGTTTTCTGACAGCTTTTACTCCTGTCTATTGATCTGTACACTGTAGAATTAAAAGGCTTTTTGACTTCCTATGACCAAGATGCATAGAATGATTTACTAAAACCTATGTAAAACTCAAACCCAAGTGTCCTTAAATGGGTTGCACTCCTAATTCAGCTTTGTTGCTAATTTATTAACTTCAAATTTATTTCACAAGTTATATTAGATTTTAATTTTTCAGAAATTTCAGAAGGACGAGTAGTAGAAAAAAGAAATTAGTATAGTGTGCCATACCAAATTCCTATTACTTACGAGTCCAATTCTAGAAATTTTTTGTTAGAAAAAAGGTAGCAAATCTGAGAAACATTTTTTTTTTGAAAGAGTGTTAGAATCTGTAAGATTTCTCTCCACAATCATTTAGCAAATACCAATGTCCTTCATAGTGTACATTATAATTAGTAGGATTGACATCTAGTCCTTTAAGTGCAAATAGTATGCAGAAAACTGTGAAGCACTTTATACAGAGGTAGTGCAACTTGCTGTGGAAATTTGTTCATAAATTCCTATATTTCATAGAATTTAAAAGGCAACTTTGAACTGTGAGAGGTGACATCTTAATCAGCTTGGTCATCATGTTCTATTCCAGATAAAGTGTATTACTGAAATAAGCTGTCATTGAAATGCATTTATTGTGCCATTATATTGACATTATTTTAACACAATCTGAGCCTGCACTCCCCACAATGGCAGCTTCCTGTAAAACAAAAAAGAGAAATACCAGGAAAACCACTAACTATCATTAAAGAATCTCACATCTACATACTTCAGTTTACCTTTCTCATTTTCTTTTCTGTAGGCTGTGACCTCATCCCAGTCCAGTATCTCAGATGGGGCGATCCCGAACCAATTGCAGCTGTTGTTTTTGCATGCCTGGGTCTGTTGGCCACGCTGTTTGTTACAATTGTGTTCATCATGTACCGTGATACTCCAGTGGTCAAATCCTCCAGCCGAGAACTTTGCTACATCATTCTGGCCGGCATATGCTTGGGTTACTTGTGCACTTTCTGTCTGATTGCAAAACCTCAACAGATTTACTGTTACCTTCAGCGAATTGGCATCGGCCTCTCGCCAGCAATGAGTTATTCTGCTTTAGTAACTAAAACCAACCGCATTGCAAGAATCCTGGCTGGAAGCAAGAAGAAGATCTGTACAAAGAAACCTAGATTCATGAGTGCCTGTGCCCAGCTGGTTATTGCATTTATCTTGATATGTATACAATTAGGCATCATAGTTGCCCTCTTTATAATGGAGCCACCAGATATAATGCATGATTACCCAAGCATTCGAGAGGTCTACCTGATCTGTAACACCACCAACTTGGGTGTTGTGACTCCCCTTGGATATAATGGGTTATTAATTTTGAGCTGCACCTTTTATGCATTTAAGACAAGAAATGTCCCAGCTAATTTCAACGAAGCAAAATATATTGCCTTCACCATGTACACCACCTGCATCATTTGGCTGGCTTTTGTGCCAATATATTTTGGAAGCAACTACAAGATAATCACCATGTGTTTCTCAGTGAGTCTGAGTGCCACGGTGGCCCTTGGCTGTATGTTTGTGCCCAAGGTCTACATCATCCTCGCTAAGCCAGAGAGGAATGTGCGCAGTGCATTCACCACATCGACGGTAGTCCGCATGCACGTAGGGGATGGAAAGTCATCTTCAGCTGCCAGCCGCACCAGCAGCCTGGTGAACCTGTGGAAAAGAAGGGGATCATCTGGTGAAACGCTTAGGTAAAGTTTTCTAATATGGGAGTGTGGGGAGGCAATTGTGGTCTTCTGAGAATTACTAATAGTGGAAAGACAAAGGGAAGTGTGCTAACTTCCTTTGCCTCTGCACTGGGAGTGGAGTGAGTCCTCTCTTCCATATCTGCAAGTTTTGAGTTTTATTTAGCCAAAATGCTGTGCAAAAATTGTTGACAAAGAAATGAGAAAACAAAGTTGGAAGTTCTGGCTGTGACAGCTGTGCATGAATCTAGGGAGAAAAACAAGATCGTAGGAGGAAAAAAACCAAGATAATAAGAAATACAACTCATTGCCTTGTCCTGAATGCACCCATTTGCAATCTCTTTCCCTTAAATGAACTTCATAGTGTCTGTATTTTGCATCTAGTGACAGCAGTAAAACAGGGCTGCTGCCAGAGCTCCATTATCGAGGTGGTGTGTTAAACACAAGAGTCATTGTGAGCAGCCACTCTAAGGCATCTAAGGATTTGCTTCGTATGACTCTTCTGTTACACCTTTTATCTCCTGTTCCCTTAATTTCCTTTTCTTATACTATCTCTTCCTAATTTCTTTCTTTTTGTCCTCACCTATCTTCTCTTCCTCACCTTTTTCTATAAACATCCTCCTAACACAAACAAATTCAGCTGCTCTGTCTACCCTTCCCTCCATTGAACAGATACTCCCTTACAAGATGTTTCTTTGTTTCTTCCTAATGTGTTATTTGAATTCAGCAATCATGAAGACAACTTGTATGTTCAATGTATAAAAATTATCTTAAGTGAACACTAAAAAGAAAAGAGAGCTCTGGAGTGGAAACTGCCCTGCTCCATAAACAGAACCTGTAGGTATGCACCTTGCCCTGTGTTTGGTTTTCATCCCTTGATCCTTTCACTTTTCATATGGATGCTATGAGAATAATTTAGGTTATTTAACTGCTAGCATTTAAAAAATTCTGTCAATATGAAACTGCAAAGAAGCAATTTTGTCATTCCTCAGCTATGTATGTCTAGGCTGGAAGTGATATGTAGCTAGATTTTTCTCCTCACTGAAACACACATGGATTTCAGGATTGATAATTTGAATATTTCCAGACATGTCATTATTCATAACTGCAGTTGTCATGGAACAAGGAAAATTTGTGTTTCCATTTATATGTGAACAACAATTTAAACCTGAAGGAGGACTTTATTAGTAATACCTGTAGGATATATTATGTCAAAGTGATTATTTTTTTCTGTCAGAATACTACTAATGATTTTCTTTCAGAGACTTTCAAGTGATACAAAAATGACCAGTCTATTACAAGGTATTTTATACCTATTATCAGTTAATGATGGGGTTTTTTTTCCAGTTCCTTTCCAGGTGCAGAGTAGGATGATATTTTCAAATGATAAATCATTTTTCAGATTAAGTGATGATTACCTGAAATATCCTTGTCTGCAGCTTTTGTATCTATATATAAATGACCTGAGGTATTTGAATTAGAAGTGCTGTAGCAACTTTTGGGACTGTTAAAAGAGTCATTCTTCAAAATATGTCTTCACTAAATGGCACGCTTCATTGACACCATTCTTATTTTCCCTCCCTTTTGCTGCAGAACTCATTTGCCACCTTGCAACCTTTTTACTCAACAAGATGAAGTTATAGGTGACAGAAAGATCTTGGTCTTGGGAAGGAATTTTTTGTCATCTGTTCAGGTCTGGTTTGGAAAGATGTTCCTCTAAAATCTTTGTTTTGTTCTGAAAAGCAAAGAGCATACCCCATTATTAAATATCCTAAATGACAAGATGTGTTTTCTTCTTTTTGAGGATTCTTTTTTCATTTTTTACATCCCTCAGTGTGTAGATAATATCTGCAGTAGGGAGATATTAGCAGAATATAATAGATCTTCAACAACAAAGATATCTTTTTCAATAGCACTGTCTTGGGAATTACTTCAATCCAAAATGGCTTTGAGAGTGCCTAATATGTGTGTGTAGGGATGAAAATGGCAGCAGAAAGCTGATACATTGACATATTTCCGTGGATACAAAGAACTTGAACTTTGCATTTGAAACTTGGAGAAAAACTTTCATGTCATCAGCAGTGTTCATCAATGCACAACACTGGAGCAAAGATCCTCCTGATACATGTGTCTAAATCCCCAGCTGGTTAAGCTGTGATGGTGCCACTGAGTTTAGTAGTCCCCAGTCAGTGTGTGCCTGAAGGATCTAGGCATCCAAGAGCAAAATTATTCCATCGATCCTAGGCAATTCTCTCTAGTCAATACCAATTTGATTACATGAAAGAGACTCCTAAAAGATGATGAGTACATTTAAAATGGTGTTCAGGACTTCATCTAGGTCTGGTATAACCTCCAAGAAACTATAGAACACCACTGTCAGTTTCAATTCCATTTAGTGTAGAAAATGAGCAAACAGAGTTCCAACATTTTACTTGATAATCAAACATTTCTTTGAAAAAAAATCTGGTTACACAAAAAAAAAGAGGTTTCAAGGTATTATTCAGTACAATGCTCAAAAGATTGTTTTGAAAGTTATTCAAGTAAACACCAAAGTATTCAGAATCAAAGAAAATATGCACTAGAACTTCATGGCATTATTTAAATAGCTCAGAAGGGTTTTATAAAAAGAGAGTGAGTCACTGTTGAATTTTAAAGAAACATGCTATTTAAGTCGCCAGTGCATAGAGGGGCCTCTATCATTAGCATTTTGCTTCTTGACACTAATTTATAGCACAGTGTAGCATTGCATCAAATCATTGTCAAACAGATAATGCCAATGCTCAATTCAGAGCTTTCACATCAGCCGCAAAGTGACAGATAACAAGACTGCTTTTGCCTAAATAAAGCAATGCATCTGTTACTGTCCTAAATGACTTTTTGCATGGGGTGTTCTTCAATTAAGAAAACCCAGGCAAGCTGTATGTTGCAATGAATCTTCACATACTGAAAAATGTAGAAGGAGAGAGTAAAACTATTCATTACCAAGTGAAATGAAAACCATTTCATGAAGGCTATTGTGATTCAGCAGTACTCACCAGAAGATATTCTGCCCTCATTTAACGTAGGGTTAACAGACCTGATGTTATCAGAAGTGATTTCACAAAGGCAAATACTACAGAGCTGGAGTCAAAGCCATATAACTGGTGTAGAGAGGCATCTGGAATTTCTGATCCCAGTCATCCTACCATTTAGTTTCATAGAGACTAGGAAGGCCATAAATACATTGAGTAAATCTTAAATTGAGGTGCCAGGAATTATTATCACATATTATATCACAGCCTTTTTGCAAGGGTTGAAAATACAGGGCTAATTTATCCTCTCCTCACTCTCAGATAACTCACTATTCCATGTAAGATAAAGGCTGTATATTTCTGTGGCAAGAGCTGCTATTATGATGTTTCTAGTCAGGACTGCACATTAAAGGGTATCAGTCATGTTACACTGACCTGGAGAATAGTACAGATGTTCAAAAGCTCCTCTTAGCTTTCTAATATCATCCCTCTGGATTTCACACATAAAATTAAACACTAGTTGTTAATGTCTTCTGGAAGGTGTCTTTAAATGTCACACATGCTCCATTTTCCAAGTTTCACACACGTGTCCCCACAACTACCTGAAGAATAGCAAGATTTCTCGCCTTTACAGCAAGTAATAAACTGTTCTGAGTAACCAGCATAGTATTAAATACTGTCTTTTGCATATTTATGTGCTGTTTTAGTCTTTAAAATCCTACCGGTATTTTTCTCAAAAGAGAGAAGCCTATAGATGTTTAGTACAAGCCAGAAGTACCCTCCTGAAACAAAACAAGACAGACTACCATCTTCTTAATCAGTAACTAAGCCAGAAGATTGAGCAGCACTTTCAATCTGCAAACCAGGCAGGCAGCTACGAATGCTCTAAAGGAAAGAATCATCACCACCTCAGCCAGATAATGTTAGGTATATTTAAGATACATTTGCTGTGTTTTGTGCCTAATTACTCCATAAAGCTGTGCACAGCACAATACTAGACAACAGAATAACTGTGCACATAAATTTCTGCACCTTATCATAGACACTTCTCTCACAAATCTTTTTGAGACTAAAGCTTAATAAGTTGGTGTGGCAGTGATATTTTATTCTACTTGGATTTACTATGCAATGAAATGTTTCCTAAATATTTAAACATAGCCTATGATTATCAAACTAAGCAGAATGCTCACCTGTTTTTTAATGTATTGTCTCATCCACTTAAGAAGTTTGTCCTGCATTGTATGACTACAGAACTGAGTATTGCTCTGTGCGCATCTCCAGAAGTGATAGTACTGACAGCTTTCCTCCAGGACTGGGGATCCCTTGTCCTAGTGAGCCAAACTCACCATTAGGAGAAGGACAAATTTTTTCTTCTAGAAGTTGCCATCATTTTGGTTTATCTTCCTAAACATAAATAAAGACACTCACACATCCACCTCAGAGTCAGGTTTCTCCCCCTCAAGCACTACACTGCTACATCAGAAAAAGCCATCAGGTGCCTGGGCTCACATATTGTTAATTGCCATTCTGTTTCTCCTATGAAGAAAATATGGTAAGCAGGGTAGAATTTTTCCACTGAATTGCATTCAGTCCTGGATCACCAGTGTCTATAGTTAGTGTATAATTAGACATCAGGCAGTCCCAAACTGTGCCAAAATGAAATATTTTGCAAACAGGTGTCTACCAACACACTGAGTGCTCTGTTTCTGCAAGGAGCAGCTGATTTTCTCACTTCTCTATTCTCTTCCCGCTTATGATTTGCTATAGCTATTTTGTTACAATTATAATAGGAGCTATTTTGGACCAAAAAATAGAAAAATATGCTTGGATCAGCCTAGAAGCTGACATTCATAATTAGAAATATTCCAGTCTAAGTACTATATAATGCATCTGCACTCCATATTTCAGCACTAAAATTTTGGGATGAGCTTTTTCAGAAGTGGGAATTAAAGTTTCTCCTTTTTTTTCCCCACAAGAAATTCTTAAAACAATACT